CTTAAAGATCATTCATTTCCTTGCAATCATTTTTCTCCATCCAGAATCTAATGAAATTTTCCAAAAATTCACAGATCAGTGGTTTTCTCAGTGAAGGCTATCCTACTCAAAATAATGAATGCATGCATCTCTTTCTTCTTCCTTCCTGGTTTCTGGGGCTCTGCTTAAGTTTTACAATAAATGAAGCAGCTTCAAATTCAAAAATCAAATGACAAAAGATCAGTCCTTCTGACTTTTAAAAGCTATTTAGTTCTTTTGTGTTTATGAAATTATGACTGGCATAAAAGAGTTTCTTTTGAAATCTGACACCGAGATTTATTTGTTACACTCTGAAGAGGATGAGGGTGTGCAATACTGTTGTTACACTAGCAGATTGCATGTATAACTTGAATATAGTATTCTCTTATGCTGACCATGCGTTCTAACTGGGCTTTCCTCTACTTCAACCCTGTATGTTTCAGCCTGAAGAAATCTGCTGCAACCAGATCTCTATACTATGCCAAATTGCTTACATATAGAACTAAGAAGCAATCCTTGTCCCTTCTGTTTCTGAAGTGGTAGCCACTTTTGGAATGATTCCATTAATGTGTTTCTAAATTTTAGACTCATATATCACAAAACAATACATTATATTACATTTTTGAGATTTCTCATAGTGTCATGTAGTATGCACTTACTCTGATTTTTTTTGCATCCACATTTTATTTATAAGATTTAGCTAAGAAAATACATATAGATCTACTTCTTCACTTGTAACACTATATTGTTTTACCGTAGTATAAATAATCCATTATCCATTTCACTATTGACTGGTTACAGTTATATTTAAATAGGGATCTAGTGGACAACCTTGTCTCTATTTGTGTAGATCTATTTCTGTGCACAGACTCGGTGTCCTAAAATTATTATGGAACTCTTTTAATAATTCTTTTAATATCATAATTCTAGTGTTGTTGTATCTGAAGTGAACAATATTTCTGTGAAAACCACCAGGTGAACTTGTAGAATTCTTTATTCTACTCTATAAGCTTCCACTAATCATGGTTCCTGAATAAGGAGCTTGCTTTAAATAAAAGTGTGGTTTAGCAGTGAGTGGAGGTGCTTGCTTTGGGCAAAAGATTATTGAATAGGTAATGGTAGAGGTAGTTATATTTGCTAGCTAAAATTTCATGACCATTTGCAGAAATAGTTAAAATTCATTTTTATTTTTCATATAAATATATGTATATATATTAACCATTTTTATACTCCTTTTCCATTTGCTTGTATGCAGAGACATATGATGTGCTCATTAAAGCTAATCATATTGGTTAATAATGAATTTAACACAGCTGTTAAACTACAGGAGATATATGGGAGAGTATGACTCAGCAAGAAGAGCAATGAAATTTGTCCAATTGGATAAACGAACTTCAAATGTTTGGGAAAAGGGTTACCTTGTTTATGGCAGGGCACTGTGGTATCTTGTGTTGCCTCAACTTAACTTTCTGGAAATGAATTTCCTAGAATTTACTTTTATGTATTATTTTGGGTCAGTTTGACTGTAAAGACATGTGTAAGATCTGGGGGACAGCTGTGACCCAGCAGCCATGTTTTGTCTTCTGCAAGCTGCTGCAGGCTCCAAGCACAGTGGCAACTGACAGGTGCTGCTCCTGCTCTGCCCCTCATCTTATTGCTGACCCACAGCCCCGCCCCCACCAGGTCTCCTCTCTCAGCTTCTCTCTGTCTTGGGCCAGGCCTGCCTGTAGCAGGATGCAAGTGATACCCACTTCCCCTGCAGGTGCCCACCCCATGTTTGAGGAGGTGAGAGAAACAAGTTGTAGTTTGACTGTCTGAATTCCATTGTCCTCATTGTCTCACAGTTAGTTTGTCCACGCTTTTGCTCACTTCCAAGGTTTTTTCCCAAATATTACTCTGGCTGATTTATAGAAAATTCAAAGTCTACAGAAAATATAAATACAAAGGGTTTCCATAGATTTTTCCCCAGTTTCAGCAATGATATGATTATAATTAATTGATTATAGTGATATGATATTATAATGATATTGATTATAATGATATGATTATAATTAATCTCTTATTGTACACTCACTCACAGTGGTTCTGCTTCTCTGAGTATATCTTAATTGACACAAAGCCTAAGAGGAAAGGCCTAAGGAAACGATTTTCATGATGATTCCAAATGACTAGGCCCGGCTTGTGGTGTGAGCATCTTAAAGGGGAGTGGTTACTTGAGATGAGTATGGGGCAATGTTTTCAATGTTTGGCAACCGTACACATGTTCTGTCTTACTGAACAATTTTAAGCCAAAAATTCAAAACTGAAAACGTGTTACGAAAAAGTACTCTGGACACCTGTTTCCAATGACATAGATGTAAGTTTTACTTGGAAGTCACCCCCTGATCCAGACCACAGAAGCAGCAGCCACAGTCACTGCCATTGTGTCTGGGTGTGCAGGTGTGATTTCAGCTTGGCTCCTGAGCAGAGGTCACCCTTTTTGAGCTCTGGGGTTTTTGTTCACCTTTTACTGAACCTTCAAACACAGTGGGTCCCAGAGAGCACAGAAATACATTGCTGAATCATCCCATTGTAAGGGTGCAATCGTGAGGGAGATGGTTTTCTCTGCTTTCTGGAAGTTTATAGAATAGCGACCTTGTACTGCATTAATGTTAGAAGAAGACTGACGAATAATGTAAGTCATCTTTCCATCAGGAGGCTGCTTGTACCAGAAAAGGTAGTATGCACTCAGGCTTGTTTCATACCGGCACTTCAGGGTGATTGCTGACCCCTCTCGCGAGACTGTAGCTGGCTGGTCTTGAATAACTCTCTGGGCCACACTGGATCCTGTAGAAGAAAATCAGATAATACAAGTGATGCAGTGAATAAAATCTGATAAGAATTAGCCTAATTTTGTGCCCAAACAAAACCACATTGAAATCATCACACGCCTGCTTTCCCCAGTCCTTCCTCCTCCCTGTACCCAGTCCTATCCTTCCATCCTCCCCACCCCCGCCTGGCCCCGGGCCTACCAGAGCAGGTGAAGGCCACCAGGGCCCACAGCAGGCTGGAGGGCACCATGGGGCGTGTGTGCCCTGACACGTGTGTGCAATTGTGCCTCCAGCTGAGAGTTCAGTGTCTCTGAGGGCCTGGAAGGGTGTTTATGTAGTTCCTGGAGGTGCTGAATCTCCCCACACAGGAAATAGGGTTTCTCATGTTGCATTGTCCACCTGGTTATGCACAGATGAGAGAAGAGTCTGGCTTATCTCAAACTTGAACTTTGACTACTTGTCTTTTCCTGGTAATATGTGAGGCAGTAGATGAGAAGGGACAGGAAAAGCAATTACTTTATAGTTGAACTGAACAGAATGAATTTTTAATCATTTGACATACATATATAGATGGACACTCATTAGGGCTTATGTTTTCATTTCTGTAAAGACTGAAAACATTAAGTGTGTTTCCCCCATGTTTATTAGCTATGGGCTATGTGACGTCTGAAGTGTTATTCACAATCTTGTCATTTTTATACTTTCCATTTACATTGACTTCTATGAGTATTTTATATATTCTGCATTTGAGTCCTTTTCCAGAAATATGCTTTGCAGGTGTTTTTTAATACTCTGCATTAACTTTTGACATTCTTGACTGTGACTTTTCACAATGATAATAAAATTATACTTGCTCATGGGAAATTAGCTCAACAATTGTATTTATTTTATTTAAGCAATTTAAAAATGCTTTTCTGTAGTGACTTCTACTACTTCTGAAGAAAAGTCAGGCATCATTCTTGATGTGTTTCCCAGAACGTGATGTACCAATTTTTTTTGACTGTTGATAAGATCCTCCCCTCAACTTAAAAATACTTTGAATATGAATTTTCCTTTCATGCCTGCAATGTTTCTGCCAGGTGAGAGGAGTGGACTTGCAGAATTTCTTATTAAGGTTGAAAGGAATTCCATGCACTTTTGTTCCTGAAAAGGAGCTTGTTCTGTATCAAATTCAGGAATAGCACTGATGGTGGTGCTAGCTATGAGCAAGGAGATTATGCAGTGGGTAATGGAAGAAGTAGTTATAATAACCACTACGATCACATGATGATCTGCAGAAATAGTTGGGAAAACTCTTTTTCAATATAATTATAGTAACCATTTCTTACTCCCTTTCACCATTTGCATATATGCAGTAGATTGAGATTTGCTGATTAAAGTTAATCATATTGGTTAATTATTTTGGTTAATCATAAAGCCAGTTGCATGAGGTCTAACATTGAGATTCATCTCTTATTCTACGTCACTCACGGTGTTTCAGCTTCTTCGATTATATCTTAGTGGACACAAACCCTAAGTGCAAAGGGCTCAGAAAAATATTTACATGACAATCCACATTACTAGATATAGCCTGTGCTGTGAAAATCTTTATATGCAGCTACCACTTGAAATTATTGTGGGGCAAGTTTTTTCTTCTTCTTTCTTTTTCTTTTTTTTTGTGTAGGAGAAGTTGGTGTAGGTCAGAAGTGGGAGGGCTGAGAAGATTCACCAGAGACAGAGTGGGGAACAGAATGCAGATCTACTGAAATACACTGCTGAGGGGAGCAGTGGGCAAGACTGGAGAGATCTACTGCGTCATGTGCGTCAGTTCCCTGGCAAGGAATTAAATTCAGGCCATAGCGGTGATCGTGCTGAGACTTAACCCATAGGTCAGCAGGGAGGCCCTTAGAGCAAGTTTTTTCAACTTTAAACAATACACACATGTTTGTATGATTGATTTTAAGTCAAAATGTCTTGCCTGAGAATGCATTAAAAGAAGGTTAATTTGGACAACTCCTTCCAAATGACATAGAAGGAGGTTTTACTCAGAAGTATCCCCTGATCCAGACCACAGACAAAGCAACCACAGTCACTGCCATCGCCTCTCTGGGAGGTGCAGGTGTGATTTCAGCTTGGCTCCTGAGCGGAGGTCTCACCCTTCTTGAGCTCAGGGTTTTTGTTCAGCTTTTACTCTCACTTCAAACACAGTGCATCACTGAGAGCACAGAAATACATTGCGGAGTCGTCCAGTAGCAAGGGTGAAATGGTGAGGTAATTGTATTTGTCTGCTTTCTGGAAGTTTATAGAATAGCGACCATTTTTTGCACTGTTACCAGAAGATGAACGGTGATAAATAAGGTATGTGATCTTTCCATCAGGAAGCTGCTTGTACCAATAAAGGACGTAGTTACTCCAACTTGTTTCATACCGACACCTCAGGGTGACTCTTGACCCCTCTTGTTTGGATATAGCTGGTTGGTCTTGGATAACTTTCTGGGCCTCACTGGATCCTGTGGGGGAAATCAGAAATCAGAGCTGATACAGAGAATATACTATTATAGAGTAGATTAATTTTGTGCCCAAAGAGAAAGCACATTGAAATCATCACATGCCTTCTTTCCCAGTGCTCCCTCCCCCTCATCCATGCAAGCACCCTGTGCCTGGTGCTGTCCTTCCATCCTCCCCACCCCACATGGCCCTGGGCCTACCAGAGCAGGTGAAGGCCACCAGGGCCCACAGCAGCCTGGAGGGCACCATGGGGTGTGTGTGCCCTGACACGTGTGTGCAGTTGTGCTTCCAGCTGAGAACTCACTGTCTCTGAGATCCTGGAAGGGCGCATATGTAGTCCCTGGGGCCTGCTGCTCCCCACACAGGAAGTGGGGTTTCTTAGGTTCTATTGACTGCCGGGTCATGCAAAGATGAGAAGAGTCTGGCTCCCCCAAACCTTTTTATTGTTACTTGTCCCTCCCTGATAACTTAGGAAGCAGTACATAAAAAGAGTCATGGAAAAAGGAATTCATATTATAGACTTGAGTTATGGGAAAATGAAGATTGAATCTTTGATAATTCTGAGTGCAATAATTTGAGGGACTCAGTGAAAATAGAATGTTTTATGAATTTTCCCCTCCCTGCAAGTACTTAACAATCATTCATTTACCTTGTATTCATTTCTCTCTATTCAGACTCTAATTAAATTTTTTTTAACAGAAATTCACAGATCTGAGACTTTCTCAGTGAAGATTAACTTATTCAAAACAATTAGTGTGTCTCTTTCTTCTTCCTACTGAGTTGTAGGGCTCATTAAAGTTTTACAATAAACAAAGGTGCTTCAAATGAAAATGAAATGATGAAAGATTAGTTCTTTTGAATTTAAAAAGTTATTCGGTTTTGTGTGTTGATGAAAATAACAGGAATAACATACTATCTTTTGAATCTGACACTGAGTTTTATTCATTATATTCTGAGGAAAGTCAGGGTCTTTTGTTGTACAAATAGAGACATTAGCAAATCATGTGTCCTAGAATGACTTGGGTGTCATATATTTTAATCCCATTGGGCCAGAGTACTCATCTCCCTTGTTCAATCCCATGGCTGAATTTTTTTGTTACTTTGTTATATCAAATCAAGATAAGTTTGCTAATCCTCAATTGGCACAGTGCTGTCTAATCCACTCCTACAATGTGCTATCTGTAATGTGCACCACTTAGTACATGTGAACCCATAGAAGTTGTTATCTGAAGTGCTACTCCTGTTGCAAGATCCCCTATTAAGTAGCTGTCATTTCCCATTGATTTCATGGTTTCAGTGTGTGAATTAATATAAAAGGATCAAAGGTAAGTTAGACAACTGGGAATAAATGATCGAGTCTCTGAAATATGAGGATTCTCTGCTATGGGTCAAAACAACTCACATCTGGGTGGTTCAGGGAGAAAGTTCTAATTAGTTGAGATATCTACTCTGGCCCCACTTCACCTCTGAGTACAACAGGCAACTGATGACTGCTTGCAATTTTTGTAACTGAGCTGAGGAGACCATCATTGCTCAGAGCAACATTAGGGGGAAATGAAGGCAGCATTCCCCTCCTGGGTCGATGACCCTGCCCTGTGCCTGACAGCACAACTGCAAGTTCTGCAGCTCACACAGTGCTGCCCGTGAGTGTGGTTTCTCTGGGCCATGTCTGAATGTGTCAGGACACCCTTTGGGAGATTTGGTCTTTCTTTGTGATTATAATAATAGATTATATCTGGTAAAGCACAGGCATATAGTTCCTATGACAGGATATGTGGAAGAGATTGTTTACTTAAAATTTTCAAGTTTAGTGAATTAATCTGTGATAAGATGTAGAACATATAAGCAACAAATTTATGAGTGTGATGGGAAATACTCATGCATATTTTGGTTCTTCTCTTGCCTCCAAGCTACTTCTAAGGTGAAATGTGCCCCCGGTCCTTGCCTTCCACATAAGAGACAAACAAGTCACCATGCATTTCCTCCTACTCAGCCACCGAGTCATGAAATAGCAGCATCAGCCAAACAAATGAAATGAAAATCCATCTTGTGACTAACGTATTGCAGACTGAATGGCAACATCAATAAAATCATATTCATTGTTGACATAGCACTGCTTAATTTATTAGAAGTTCTAAGAAAAGCCCATGGGGCCTCTTAGTTCAAACATTCAGCCATGTTGGTTCAGCAGCCCCCAAGCACTATTTGGCATGAGTCTATAGCTCTTCTTATATTTACCATAAAGGGAAAAATATCGCCCCAAGTGCTAAGAGGAAAGCATTAACACAAAGGGTGCAAGAAATGATTTTCATGACAATTCCAGATGAGTAGACCCACCTTGTAATGTGAAAATATTTCAGTACAGCTTTTACTTGAAATTATTGTGGTGCAAGTTTTCCAATATTGAGAAAATGTACATATTCTCTGTAAGACTAATTTGAAGTAAAAAATTCATGACTGAGAATGTGTTAAAAGATAATTACCCTGGACACCTGTTTCCATATGACATGGATGGAGGTTTTACTAAGAATTCAATCCCCTGAGCTAGACCATGGAAGAGGCAGCCACTGTCACTTCCGTTGCTTTCTGCTTGGCTGCCTAGCAGAGGTCCTACCCTGCCTGAGCTCTGGTGTTTTTGTTCAGCTCTTACTATCACCTCAAACACAGTGGGTTCCCGGAGAGCACAGAAATACATTGCTGAATCATCCATTTGCAAGAGTGAAATGGTGAGGGAGATGGTTTTGTATGCTTTCTGGAAGTTTATAGAATAGCGACCCTGTACTGCATTAATGTTAGAAGAAGAAGGCTGATGAATCATGTAAGTGATCTGTCCATCAGGATGTTGCTTGAACCAATAAAGGTAGTATATACTCCAACTTGTTTCATACCAACACCTCAGGGTGACTGCTGACCCCTCTCTCGAGGATATAGCTGGCTGGTCTTGAATAATTTTCTGGGCCACACTGGAGCCTGGGGAGGAAAATACAAGTGATACAGTGAATAAAATCCTACAAGAATTACACTAATTTTGTGCCCAAACATAAAGCACATTGAAATCATCACATACCTGCTTTTCCCCAGTCCTCCTTCCCCCTCATCCATGCAAGCACCCTATGCCCAGTGCTGTCCTCCCATCCTCCCCACCTCGCCTGGCCCGGGGCCTACCAGAGCAGGTGAAGGCCACCAGGGCCCACAGCAGGCTGGAGGGTGCCATGGGGACGTGTGTCCTGACACGTGTGTGCAGTTGTGCCTCCAGCTGAGAGCTCAGTGTCTCTGAGGGCCTGGAAGGGTATTTATGTAGTTCCTGGGGGTGATGCTGCTCCCCACACAGGAAATAGGGTTTCTTGTTGCATTGCCCACCTGGGTATGCAAAGATGAAAGAGTCTGGTTTATTCCAAATTTGGACTTTGATTACTTGTCTTTCCCTGTAATATTGTAAGGCAGTACATGAGAAGGGACATGAATAAAACAATTAGTTTACAGATTTGAGCTGAAGAAAATGAATTTTTAATCACTTGACATACATACACAGATGGAACACTCGCATGGCGTTACATTTTCATTTCTATAAAGACTGATAACAATAAGTTTTTCCCCCTATATTTATTAGCTATGGGTTATTAGACTTCTGAAGTGTTCTTCCAATCTTGCCATTTTTATACTTTCCATTTATATTGATTTCTATGAGCATTTTAAATGTTCTACATTTGAATCTTTTTCCAGAAATAGGCTTTGCAGGTGTAGTTTAAGACTGTGCATTGACTTCTGACATTCTTAGCAGTGACTTTTCACAATGATGATAAAGTTATACTTGTTCATAGGGAATTAGCTTGATGTTTGTATTTATTTCATTTAAACAATTTAAAAATGCTTTCCCCTAGTGACTTCTATTACTTCTGTTGAAAAATCAGGTATCATACTTGACTGTGTTTCCCAGAATATGATTTTCTTTGACTATTGATAAGATCCTCCCCTCATATTTAAAGACACTTTGAATATGGATTTTCCTTCCATGCCTGCAATATTTCTGCCAGATGAGAGGAGTGGACTTGCAGAATTCCTTATTCAGCTTTAAAGAAAGTCCATGCACCTTTGCTCCTGAAAAGGAGCTTGTTCTATATCAAACTCAGGTATACTGAGTGGCAGAGATTTATATGAGCAAGGAGATTATGCAATGGGTAATGGAAGACGTAGTTATAATTACCACTACGATCACATGATGATCTGCAGAAATAGTTGGGAAAACTTTTATTCAATATAATTTTATGTATATTAGCCATTTCTTACTCCCTTTTACCATTTGCATATATGCAGTAGATTAAGATTAATCATATTGGTTAATTCTTTTGGTTAATCATAAAGCCAGTTGCTTGAGGTCTGATATTATGATTTATCTCTTCTTCTACATTACTCTTGGTGGCTCTGTTTCTCTGATTATAACTTAGTGGACACAAACCCTAAAAGCAAAGCGCTCAGTAAAATATTTACATGACAATTCCAGATAACTAGACACAGACTGTGATGTGAAAAATTTTATTTGCAGCTACCAGTTGAAATTATTGTGAGGCAAGTTTTTTCTTTTTTCTTTTTTTTGGTTCTTTTTTCTTTTTTATGTGAAGAAGTGGGTGTAGGTCAAGGGTGTGGGGGCTGAGAGGATTCACCAGAGACAGTGAGGAACAGAAAGCAGATCTACAGAAATATACTGCTAAGGGGAGCAGCAGGTGAGACAGGAGAGGTCTGCTGCGCCATGTGGGTAACTCCCTGGTTGGGGATTGAACTTAGGCCAGAGTGGTGATCATGCTGAAACTTAACCCCTAGGCCACCAGGAAGGCCCTTGAGGCAAGGTTTTTGACCATGAGACAATGCACACATGTTCTGTATGATTGATTTTAAGTTAAAATGTCATTACTGAGTGTTGGGGGCCCCTAAGGTTGGAGTGTTGGGACAGGGAAAACATCAAGGTGGTGGCTGGAAGACTGGTCATGGCTAAGAGACTGATCATCACGGGTCGAAAGACTGATCCGTGCACAGATCAGGATGTTTTCTTTTGTGTCAGCAGAACTATGCCTGGAAAGCCAATTAAATTAAGAAAGAAACAGTGCCGAGCCTTGGCGATGAATGTGTGCAGAACAAGTACTGAATACTCAGAAATAAGAAAATGCATCATTGTTCTGTAGTTCTGCCATCCTGTATCTTGCTTTGTAACTTTGTTGTTTCTGCTAACAAAAGCTGAGGTATGCTGAGGAGAACAGAGCAAGCCTAAGAAACTCTCTCCCCAGCCACCCTGTCAAACTTCTTGAAACTCAGTGTCCACGTCCTTTTGATTCAGCTATCCATGACAACTGAGAATGCATTAAAGAAGGTTAATCTGGACAGTCCCTTCCAAATGACCTAGGAGAAGGTTTTACTCAGAAGTTCCCCCTCCTGATGCAGTGACAGATGAAGCAGCCACTGTCACTGCCATGGCCTGCCTGGGGTGTGCAAATGTGACTTCAGCTTGGCTCCTGAGCAGGGCCCTCATTCTTATTGAGGTGTGGGTTTTTGTTCAGCTTTTACTATCACTTCAGACACAGTGCCTTCCCAGAGAGCACAGAAATACTTGACTGAATCTTCCAGTTGTATAGATGAAATGGTGAGGGAGATGCTTGGTGTGTTCTCTGGAAGTTTATAGAATAGCAACCGTTTTTTGCACTGTTGCCAGAAGTGAATGGTGATATACAAGCAATGTGATCTTTCCATCGGAAAGCTGCTTGTACCAGTAAAGGTAGTAGTCACCCCACCTTGTTTCATACTGGCAATTGAAGGTGACTGCTGATTCCTCTTGTGTGGCTATAGCTGGCCTATTTTGGGTAACTTTCTGGGCCACAGTGGAGCCTGTGGGGAAACATCAGAAAGCACAAGTGATACAGTGAATAAAATACTTTGAATATTAGACTATTTTACAAAGATAAACCACATTCTTGAAATCATCATATGCTTGCTTCCTGCCTTCCTCCTTTTTTCATCAAATCCCATGTCAAGTATCAAGTACAATCCTTCTATCTTCCCCACCCCTGCTTGGCCCCGGGGCCTACCAGAGCAGATAAAGGCCACCAGTGCCCACAGCAGGCCCGAGGGCGCCATGGGGCGTGAGTGCCCTGACACGTGTGTGCAGTTTTGCCTCCAGCTGAGAGTCAGTGTCTCTGAGGGCCTAGAAGTGGGTTTTTATAGTTCCTAGGGGCTGATGCTGCTCCCCACACAGGAAATAGAATTTCTTAAGTTCCATTGACTGATGGGTCATGCAAAGATGAGAAGAGTCTGGCTCAGTCAAAGCTTTATTTAGTTATTTATTTATATTTTTGTTACTTGTCTCTACCTGATAACTTAGAAGGCAGTACATAAAAAAAGTCATGGAAAACGGAATTCATATTACAGATTGGAACTGTGGGAAAATGAAGATTGAATCATTGATAATGCTGAGTGCAATAATTTGGGAGAACTCATTCAAATAGATTGTATTACGGATTTTCCATTTCCTGTAAGTATTTAATGATCATTCATTCACCTTGCACTCATTTCTCTCTATTCAGAAGCTAATGAATTTTTTTTTTTAATTTACAGATGTGATACTTTCTCAGTAAAGACTAACTTATTCAAAACAATTAGTACTTCTTTTTCTTCTTCCTACTGAGTTACAGGGCTCATTGAAATTTTACAATAAACAAAGTTGCTTCAAATGAAAATCAAATGATAAATGATGAGTCCCTTTGACTTTAAAAAGCTATTCAGTTTTGTGTGTTGATGAAAATAACAGGAATAACATATCATGTTTTGAATCTGACCCTGAGTTTTATTTATTATACCCTGAGGAGGGTCAGGATCCTAGGGCTCTTGCTGCACAAATAGAGTCACTTAGCACATCACATGTCCTAGACTGGCTCTGGTATCACATTTCATCCCATTGCTCCAAGTGTTCATTATCCCTTGTTAAATTTCATGACTAAATTTTTTTGTTACTTTGTTACATCAAATCAAGGTAAACTTGCTAAACCTCACATGGCACAGTGCTGTCCACTCTTACAATGTTCTATCTGTAAGATGCACAACTTAGTACAAGTGAACCCACAGAAGTTGTTATGAAGTGTGGCTACCATTACAAGACCACTGCTATGTAGCTGTCTGTCTTCCATTGATTTCATTGTTTCATAAAAGGATCAAAGGATTAACATAAAAGGATCAAAGGTAAATTAGACAACTGGGAAAAAAGGACAGTCTGAAATAGGAAGATTCTCTGCTACAGGTCAAAACAACTCACATGCGGGTGGTTCAGAGACAAAGTTCTAATTAGTTGAGACATAGACTTTGGCCCATTTAACCATGAGAGCAACAGGCAGCTGATGGCCTGGTTGCAATTTTTGTAACTGAGCTGAGGAGACCATCAACGTCCACAGAACCTGGCAGCATTTCCCTCCTGTGGCGATGGCCCTGCTCTGTTCCTTGACAGCACAGCTGCAAGCTCTGAGGCTCAGCAGTGCTGCTTATGATTGTGGTTTCTCTGGGCCATGTGGTGTGAGTCAGGACACCCATTGGGAGATTTGGTATTTCTTTCTAATTCGATAATAATAGATTATATCTCGTCAAGCACAGACATGTAGTTTCTATTACAGGCAATATGGAGATTGATTACTTAAAATTTCCAAGTTTAGTGAATTAATATGTGATAAGATATGAAGGCATATCTAAAAAAATTATTGGGTATGATGGTAAATATTCATGCATATTTTGGTGATTTTCTAGCCTCCAAGCTGATTCTAAGGTGAAATGTGCCCACTGGTCCTTGCCTTCCACATAAGAGACAAACGAGTCACCACGCCCTTCCTTTTACTCAGCCACCAAGTCGTGGAATAGTCATTGTGATTTAACTCTGCTTTATTTATTAGAAATTGTAAGAAGCGGCCACGGACCCTCTGAATTCAAAACATTCAGGAGCACACAAATACCATTTGGTGTGAGTCTACAGTTCTTTTATATTTACCATAAAGGAAAAGCATCACACAAAAGGATGAGCTAAGAGGAAAACCTAGGAGCAAAGGGCACAAGAAATGATTTTCAGGACCATCGCAAATGACTAAATACAACCTATAATGTGAAAATCTTTAAATGTAGTTGCCACTTGAAATTATTGTGGTGCAAGTTTTCAACACTAGGAAACTATACTTATACTCTGTAAAACTTATTTAAAGTTAAATATTCACGACTGAGAATGTACTGGAAGAAAGGTTCTCTGGAAACTTGTTTCCAAATGACATAGATTTTACTTAGAACTCAAGCCCCTTATCCTGACCACAGAAGAAACATCCACAGTCTCTGCCATTGCCTGTCTGGTACATGCAGGTGTGATTTAGCTTGGATGCTGATCAGGGCTCTTGCTCTTACTGAGCTCTGGGGTTTTTGTTCAGCTTTTACTATCACCTCAAGCACAGTGGGTTCCAGGATAATACAGAAGTACATTGCTGAATCTTCCAGTTGCAAGGGTGAAATGGTGAGGGAGATGGATTTGTGTGCTTTCTGGAACTTTATAGAATAGCGACCCTTTACTGCACTGTTTTTAGAAGAATAGTGATGAATAATGAAAGTCATCTTTCCATCAGGAAGCTGCTTGTACCAGTAAAGTTTGTAGTCTCCCGGTCTTTTTTCATACCGACACTTTAGGGTGACTTTCAACCCCTCTTCCTTGGCTATAGCTTGCTGGTCTTGAATAACTTTCTGGGCCACACTGGATCCTGTGGGGAACATCAGAAAATACAAGTGATGCAGTGAATAAGGTATTTTAAGAGTTAGACTAATTTGTGTCCAAAAATAAACCTCATTGAAATCATCCCGTACTGGCTTTTCCCCCGTCCTCCTTCCCTCCTCATCCATGCAAGTGCCATGTGCCTGGTGCTGTCCTCCCATCCTCCCCTTCCCTGCCTGTCCCCGGGCCTACCAGAATAGATGAAGGCCACCAGGGCCCACAGCAGGCTGGAGGGTGCCATGGGGCATGTGTGCCCTAACGCGCGTGTGCAGTTGTGCCTCTAGCAGGAATCTCAGTGTCTCTGAGGGCCCAGAAGGGCGTTTATGTAGTTCCTGGGGCCTGATGCTGCTCCCCACACAGGAAATCAGGTTTCTTAAGTTCCACTGACTGCTGGGTCATACAAAGATGAGACGAGTCTGGATCACACAAACCTTTTTATTGTTTACTAGTCCCTCCCTAATAACCTAGAGGTAGTACATAAAAAGAGGCATGGAAAAGGAATTCATATTACAGATTTGAGCTGTGGGAGAATGAATATTGAAACATTGATAATTCTGAGTGCAATAAGTTAGGTGAACTCATTGAAAATAGAATGTAAAAAAAAAGTTAAAAAAAGTAAAAAAAAAGAAAAGAAAATGTATTATGGATTTTCCCCTACTTGCAAGTATTTAATGGTCATTCATTTACCTTGCATTCATTTCTCTCTATCCAGAAGCTAATGATTTAAAAAAAAAAAATCCACAGATCTGAGACTTTCTCAGTGAAGACTAACTTATTCAAAACAATTAGTGCATCTCTTTCTTCTTCCCACTGAGTTATAGAGCTCATTGAAGTTTTACAATAAACAAAGCTGCTTCAAATGAAAATCAAATGATGAAAGATCAGTCCTTTTGACTTAAAAAAGCTATTCAGTTTTGTGTGTTGATGAAAATAAAAGGAACAACATATTATCTTTTGAATCTAACACTGAGTTTTATTCATTATACTCTGAGGAAAGTCAGGGTCTTTTGTTGTACAAATAGAGTCACTGAGCAGATCATGCGTCCTAAAATGACTCGAGTGTCATAATTTTTTTATCCCGTTGGGCCAGAGTACTCATCTCCCTCATTAAATTCCATGGCTAAATTTTTTTTGTCACTTTGTTATATCAAAACAAAATAAGTTTGCTAATCCTCACATGGCACAGTGCTGTCTAATCCACTCCTACAATGTGCTATCTGTAATGTGCACCACTTAGTACATGTGAACTCACAGAAGTTGTTATCTGAAGTGCTGCTCCTGTTGCAAGATCCCCTGTTAAGTAGCTGTCATTTCCCGTTGATTTCATGGTTTCAGTGCGTGAATTAATAGAAAAGGATCAAAGGTAAATTAGACAACTGGGAATAAAGGACCAAGGCTCAGAAATATGAAGATTCTCTGCTACAAGTCAAAACAACTCACATCTGGGTGGTTCAGGGAGAAAGTTCTAATTAGTTGAGATATCTACTCTGGCCCACTTCACCTCTGAGTGCAACAAGCAACTGATGACTGCTTGCAATTTTTGTAACTGAGCTGAGGAGACCATCATTGCTCAGAGCAGCATTGCGGGGAAATGAAGGCAGCATTCCCCTCCTGTGCCAATGGCCCTGCCCTGTGCCTGACAGCACAACTGCAAGATCTGCAGCTCACACGGTGCTGCCTGTGAGTGTGGTTTCTCTGGGCCACTTCTGAATGTGTCAGGACACCCTTTGGGAGATTTGGTCTTTCTTTGTGATTATAATAATAGATTATATCTGGTAAAGCACAGGCATATAGTTCCTATGACAGGATATATGGAGGAGATTGATTATTTAAAATTTTCAAGTTTAGTGAATTAATCTGTGATAAGATCTAGAGCATACATGCAACAAATTTATGAATGTGATGGGAAATATTCATGCATATTTTGGTTCCTCTCTTGCCTCCAAGCTGATTCTATGGTGAAATGTGCCCCCATCCTTGCTTTCCACATAAGAGACAAACAAGTCACCATGCGTTTCCTCCTACTCAGCCACCAAGTCATGGAAGAGCAGCATCAGCCAAACAAATGAAATGAAAATCCATCCTCTGACTACTGTATTGCAGACTGAATGGCAACATCAATAAAATCATAGTCACTGTTGACATAGCACTGCTTAATTTATTGGAAGTTCTAAGAAGAGCCCATGGGTCCTCTGAATTCAAGCATTCAGCAATATTGGTGTCAGGAGCACACAAGTACCATTTGGCATGAGTCTGCAGCTCTACTTATATTTACTGTAAAGGGAAAACATCGCCCCAAGTGCTAAGAGGAAAACATAAGAGCAAAGGGAACAAGAAATGATTTTCACAACGATTCCAGATAAGTGGACCCACCTTGTAATGTGAGGATATTTCAGTGCAGCTGTTACTTGAAATCATTGTGGTGCAAGTTTTTCAACATTAGGAAACTATATGTATTCTCTGTAAGGCTAATTTTTTTTCTAAGATTTATTTATTTATACAAGCACTGGGTACAGTCAGAAGTGCAGGAGGGTGAGAGGATTCACCAGAGCATGAGTGGGGAACAGAACAGGCAGATCGACAAAATACACTGCTGAGGGGAGCAGCTGGCGGCAGGAGAGGTCTGCGTGCCAGGTGGGATCCTCGCCAACGGCCGGCCGGGGATCGGGATCGGACCCGCCCTGCAGAGGCTGCGGGAAGCTTCGCAGCCCAGCGCACAACCGCTGCGCACCAGGGGAGGCCCTGTAAGACTAATTTCAAGTCAAAAATTCATGACTGAGATTGTGTTAAAAGAAAGTTACCCTGGACACCTGTTTCCATATGACACGGACAGAGGTTTTACTTAGAATTCAATCCCCTGAGCTAGACCATGAAAGAGGCAGCCACAGTCACTTCCCCTGCCTCCCTGGGATGTGCAGGTGTGCTTTCAGCTTGGCTCCTGAGCAGGACTTATAGAGCATGGGTTTTTGTTCAACTTTTACTATCACTTCAAACACAGTGCCTTCCCGGAGAGCACAAAAATACATGCCCGAATCAGCCAATTGTAAGGACACAATGTTGAGAAAGATGGTTTTGTCTGCTTTCTGGAAGGTTATAGTATAGCGACCATTTTTTGCATTCTTGTCAGAAGAATACTGCTCAATGATGTAAGTCATCTTTCCATCAGGAGGCTGCTTGAACCAGTAAAGGGAGTATGCACTCCAGCTTGTTTCATACTGGCACTTCAGGGTGACTGCTGAACGCTCTCGAGTAGTTATAGCTGGCTGGTCTTGAATAACTTTTTGGGCCACACTGGATCCTGTGGGGGAAAATCAAAAAGCAGAGATGATGCATTTAATTATTGTAAGAGTGAATTAATTCTTAATTGTTAGTAATTAACCACATTGAAATCATCACATGCTGGCTTTTCCAGTCCTCCTTTGCCCTCATCCATGCAAGTACCCTGTGCCTGGTCCTCTCCTTCCATCCTCCCACCCCTCAGGCCTACCAGAGTAGGTGAAGGCCACCAGGGCCCACAGTAGGCTGGAGGGCACCATGGGGCGTGTGTGCCCTGACACGTGTGTGCAGTTGTGCCTCCAGCGGGGAGCTCAGTGTCTCTGAGAGCCTAGAAGGGCGTTTATGTAGTTCCTGGGGGTGATGCTGCTCCCCACACAGGAAATAGGGTTTCTCATGTTGCATTGCCCACCTGGTTATGCACAGATGAGAAAACTTGGACTTTGTCTACTTCTCTTTCTGGAATTTGAGTGAAGCTGTATATGAAAAAGCAATAAGTATTACAGTTTGAACTGAACGTTCATGAATATTAGAATCATTGACAAATCATTGTGGAATATTAAAGGAATAATTTTGGGACTCCTTTAGAAATGGAATGTGTTTTGTAGCTGGCACCTCCTTGTATCTATTTGATGGTCATTCGCTTACCTTGCACTCATTTCTCACTATCCATAATCTAATGAATTTTAAAAAAAATTCAAAGAGCCCTGTTTTCTCAGCAAATATTATCCTATTTCAAACATCTACTGTGTGTCTTTCTTCTTCCTTCCTAGATTGTAGGAATCTGCCTAAGTTTTATAATAAATGAAGCTGCTTCAAATCAAAATCAAATGATTAAGATCAGTCCTTCTGACTTTCAAAAGCTATTCAACTGTTTATGTGTTTATGAAATTATAACAGCAATAACATGCTATCTCTTGCAATTTTGACACTGAGTGTTATTTATTCAACTCTGAGGAGGGTCAGGGTGCTCAGTATGATTCCTCAACAATTAGATTGCAATGATTAGATTGTGTGTCCTGGGATGGTCCTGATGTCACTTATTTTTATCCCATTGCTCCAAAGTTTTCAGTCTCACATGTTAAATTCCACATCTGGGTTCCTTTTTGAAACTTCTAAAAGTTAAATCTCCTGAAGCATGCTGATCTTCCGTGGCACGGTGTTAACTATACTCTACTCCTGCAGACGTGATGTCTGTCAGTTGCCCACACTCAGGACATGTAAACCGCACAGGTTGTGAGCTGAACTGTGTTGCACTAATACATGATCATGTGTTAAGAAGGGGTCAGTCTTCCATTGTGTTCATTGTTTCAGTGAACAAGTTAATAAATAAGGACCAAAGACAAATAGAGAGCTGGGAAAGAAAGTACAGACAGGGTCAGTGAAAGAAGGAGATAGAAAATGCTCTGCTAAAGTCACAGTAACTCATGACTGGGTGGTGCAGGGAATGAGTTCTAATTAGTTGAGACACCCACTCTGGCCCACAGACGGAGGATCAAGGCATGGGGCAGAGGTCTGAGAGAGAAAAATGCTTGCCTATTTCAGGATTAAGCTCATCTTTCTTTCTAACCCTTTATTCTTCCCAGCACAAAACTGTAGAAGAGACTGTTTAAAACATTCAGCACAATTAATGGCTAGTGGATGATTTCCTCATCCTCTAATCCTGGGGAAATTTATGCCTAGAAATGGCATATTCTTTCTGGTTTCTTTTTTTGGGGGAGAAGGGGTTTCCAGGTAAAGCCAGAAATGTCACCATCACTGAGACTCTTCTGGGGTCATTTAATTCTCATTATCCAAATCTTGCTCCTTAGAATCCCTCTGAGAAGCTACCCTCTGCTGAAAGTAAAAGTTAGAGCTACTTTCCAAGGTTAGATAAGGTCTGTGTCATTTCACACTAGAAATTGGAAATAATAGAAATTATCTTCTAAGATTTATGATATTTAAAAGAAATGAAAGAAATGGGTATCT